CTTCATTAGTAATTCAAGAAGATATTTTTATTTTTTTAAAAAATAATTTTAAAAAAAATATCTCACTTAATAATATAAAATGTATGGGGCAATAGAGAAGAAGTACAAAAGAAAAAAAAAGCACTTCAAAGTTCAACCCAATCCAAGATGTTGGTTTTTTTTTTAATGGGGAGGGGATGTTTGCCTGTGCAGTAAGTGGTAATTTTTGAAATTAAATTTTTGGTTGAACTTGATCTTTTGGAATTAAATAAGAGAAGAAGGAGTCAAATAGTGTTGGTAGAAGTAAAGTGTCAGAAGCATTATGCACTTTGATGTAAGGAAAATGAGTAATACTCGCTCGGATTACACTTATCTATTTTTTTAAATATATAGCTGTTTTTATTTGTTCTTTTTTTTTGGAAGGGAGGAAATATAGTAACAAATATTAATTTAATTAATAAAAAATTGACTCAACTCATAAAATTATGAGTCTATTAATGTAAAGATTTTGTTTGTTTACGATATATATATAAGTATTATTTAATTTAAAAATATGCTATGATTTATCCAATTCACCTAAACTCTCTCTAATAAAAAAGAAAGAAAATATGAACTATTACTTTTTTTGAATCTTATCCTTTCTCAAATTTGTACAAGTTAAGGACAGATATTTTTTTAAAGATGATATATTCAATAAAATTAAATTAAAAGTTTTTTAGATGATATTAATAACTCAGTTAACTCAATTTAAGTTAAATTAGATAATTAAAAATGATTTATATATAGTGAGAGTGGGTAATGCAGATAGGCGAAGGCGCCCAAAAGTGGAGAAAGAATGAAAAAGGTGAGAAAAAGAGGGTGGGAAAGCAAGACATAGGAGGTACTCTCCGGAAGTAAAGGCAAGAATCCTCTGCTTCTAGGTGCATGTGTGTATAATGCCTTTCGGAGTTTTACAGATGTTATGGATAAACGAAAGGATGGTATTTTTCTAGTAGAATTATATGGGTTGCACATGATATCCATAGGAAAAGATGTTTCCAAATTTGTTACAGAGAATTACGATGACAAGGCTATGAGTTTGAAATTAAAGAAAATTAGCCAAATGGTACGGTAGTGTGTAAGACTTGGTTTGGTGGTGAATTTTAGGGACTTGAAGTGTTTTGTGAATGAGAAAGCCTCAGCTGAAGTGGTGAATTATATTATTAGGGAAGTTGTTGGGGCTCAATTACGGCAAGTTTTGGTTGATGGGCGCGACAACGAGTTATGATTGCTATTTGAAAATTATCGATAAATTTCCTTCCATTGAAAGGGATTAGGACTTGCAGCTTCTACCCATCACCTCTGTTCAGCCTTCCATGGTCGAATCATGTCAGAAGCCCAGATCAAGGTAAGTGGTTCGTATTATGGAAGTATATCTTTAATATCCCCTTTGTTTTGTTCTTAAATTCATCTGAACTCTGGCTTGAAACTTGACATCATTTACTCTGTCTTTGGGTCACTAAATAAACAAATTCCCATGGTTAGGCTCAGACTAGCTATTTGTTAACTTGAATTAATTAATCAATTTGTGTTTATAGATGCCCACGAGTGTGTTTTCTTTTGTCCTCATCTTTTTGTATATCATGATCTCTAAAGTGTTGGTAGTTTTATATCTATAGTCATGTATAGTATCATATACTTTCTTATTTCCATCGAAAAGAAAGTGGAAAAAAAGAAGAGGGCAATTTCTTTGTGTTCTAAGCTATGGACAAAAGTAACAGTAGTTTTTTAATTCTGAGTGAGATATGCTGCGACGGCGACGGCCTATGCCAGATAGGCAAAAACATTTTTCAATGTAGACTCCTTTAATAGTAAATTAAATAAAGATTTCCTTTTCTCAAGAATACGTGTAAATGTAAAGATTTAGAGACTCTGAACTATGGTCAATTACTGTCATGTGCCTATTTTGTCTTAACTGAATTCTTTTTATATATAATATTTGCAGCTTAATGGATTCGTTTGTCCCATTTGATGGCTTTTTTTCTTCACCTTCTAACTTGGAAGGTCTACTAAGTTGCTCGTATTATTGCATTCCCCATTGCCATCAATGTGGTGGTGAAAGGTTTTGACAAGATAGGATTGCCGCTTCAGAGGAAAAATATTCTGCTTCATCTACGTGGTTGTAAACTCCTGAGCCTAGCTCTGTAAGACCGATGAATACCTAGGTATACACTGTAGTAATCTTACATGTCAACTAAATTCAACTTAAAAATTTGAGATTTTTTATTTTTTCATTGACTGCAGTTATTTACCAACCCTAAATTCACCCAAGTATAGGCTATGCCATAGTTGTTAATTAGAGCCCAGCCCATTAGGTCAGTCCTTTTAAGTTTAAAAATATTTAGGGTTGGGCCGCTACTTTGGGGTATAAAATAATAAGCCAAAAAATAAAAGGACAAGCCTTTTTATATATTTTTTAAATTTTAATGTGAAATAAATAAACATTACATATAATTATACACCAAAAGAAAACCCTAGCCTTATTCGGTCATTCTCATTCCTTCTTACTTATCTATCAACCAACCAATTGACCAAGCACACAGCCTGCCACCTTCTTTTCCTCCATCCCTTACCCATCAAGACTTAGTTGATGATATTGGCAAAATCTAATTGTTATCTCGATTAATTTTATGATGTTGCTATTTTTATTAGAGTTAAATTTGGTTTTAAGTAGATTAACTTAAATTTATTTTTCTACACTTAATACTGTGTGTAATAATTTTTTTAAAAATCTTAAATATGTTTTTTTATATTTTTAAATTGAAAAATTAAAAAATAGGGCCTCGACCAACCCTTCAACCCTGTGGCCCTAAGTTAGACTTTGCACAATGAAACCTGAAATAAAACAAGACTTAAAAGAGCCAGTCCGCTTAAGCCTTAGTCTTTTAAGGGTTAGCCTTAACTTAATTGACAACTTTGGGCTATGCTTAGTAGCGAGAAGTTGAGCTAATTGAAGAACTTGAGTAACAATCTTCAAGTGGGGGTGACCCAATCGATGATGCCAGAGTATAAGTATGGTTTTTAAAGCTACAATGAAACATTCAACATAACCTAACATCACTGATATGATACATTCCAGTATGCTTAAGTCCATGTAAAGATAATCTTCTAATGGGCACCTTTTTAAAAATAAATTTTAGAAAAAATAACAAGAATAAATTTTAAATTTAAATCGTGCACCGGGGTAAATTTGGATAGTTAATTTATAAAAATTATTAAATTAAACTATTCAAATTAAACCTATATCATCTAAATTGATGGTAAAATAAATTTTTATAATCTATATTTTTTATTTTAATAAATATAAAATTAAAAATTTTAAATTTGGATAATCTATATGGTGGTTGAAGACCCTTATAATGGGAAAACTTGGGTGAAAGGATTTAGGGCTTTTTTGTTTATCATTTAAAAATAAGTAATTTCTAGATAATTTATAGATTTTATAAAAAGAGAATTATTTCTTAGAGGTTTTATAAAAAGAAGACATTATTTTATATGTGGTTACAATAATAAAAAAGTAATTATTATTTAGTTATTTTTAAATTTTATAATATTTTTCTTAATTTTTGTTTCATAAAAAGGATTTATTATTATATTATTTAAAAACTTTATGATATCTTTGTGTATTGTGCCACTTTAAAATAATTTATCTCATCTATCGCCTCTTTAAAATGATTTATAATAATAAAAAATATGCTATTTTTTGGATTTTTATTATTTTCAAAAATTTAAATAAACATTTTAATAACTCACAAAATAAATTTTTTTAAAAAAATTAATCATTTTTATGAAATAAACTAAAACAAACGGATCCTTAGTCATCTAATAAAGAAAATGGGCCTGGAGAGATATGAGATGAGCACGGGCATGCATAATTGTGGTCCAAAATTGCTGGGCCCATACAAAACCAAAAGCTTCGTCAGGCCCTCTATGCTTTCTTAAGAAGAGTAGCATAATATTTTTTAAAATTGATTTTGCAAATTCTTATTTTTTTTTTGGTCAGAGATTTTGCAAATTCTTCTCAAAATGGAAGCAAAAATTAAATTTGCAAAATAGAGTTTGAAAAAATAAATGAAATTTGAAAAAATTGAGAGTGTTTGGTTAGCCTTTGCAAAATAGATTTTCAGGAACTAATGACCTATTTAAATACTCATGTAGAATCAATTATAGGTCTAAAATTATGGTTTTGAAAAACTTTATCGAAATACTCTCAATTTATTCAAACCTCCATTTTCCTTCTAAAACTTCATTTGATGTAAGTTATTTTTTTTTCCATCTTATAATTAATTCTCAACGTTTGAACACTTTCCATCTTACCCATATTTATAATTGATGCTTAAAAGTTATCCTAACAGTTTCAATTATCAAAACTAATTTTAGAAAATATTATCAAAATATCATCATATTTTGTTAATTAATTTTTGCTAATTGAAATTCAAATACACCTAAAAATTGATTTAGATAAGTTTTTTAAAACCTGATTTAAAGAAGTATCCAAACATAACTGCTTGGTGGATAGCTGACTCATGGCATCACACTATAAGTCTATATAACTCTATTATCATTCATCGCCATTTAGTCCCTTACTATTACTCACGCCACTTCTACGCGCTTCCAAGTGTAGAATATGATAGCTGTGCCTTGGCTTTTCCCATTAACCCACTTATCATCAATGTTTATTAAAACGGACCGAACATTGAACCGGTCAAGACACTGGTTCACGGTTCAAACATTAGACCGAGGTCGAATCGAGGTCAGATCGTTTGTAATTAAATTAATATATTTTAAATATTATACATTAAAAATTATAGGAAATTATGATAAATTAAAGATAACTAACTACTAATAAAGTGATAATTTCTTCATACTTTAAAGTTTAAAGGCATACTTCAAAGTCATTCATGGCCATACACAACACAACACTATAGTCTAACATTATCATACAATCCAATGGTCCAAATTCAACTAAAAAACTACAACATTCAATTGCCATATAAATCTTTTAAATTAAACTCTCCAAAATCATGTTGTAGATCACAAACATCTCCTTCAACTCTTATAGCATTTGATGAATTCAAAATAGGAGATTGCAGAACATTGACATCTTCAACAACACCTAGACATATATTTGGCAAAAAAATAGTTAGCATTGACATATAAATAATGAATGAATAAACTATAAATCAAACAAAGCTTTAATGTAAAAAAAAGAGGAGCAACCTTCATTTTCCCTTAATTCAAGACTAGATCCAGAGGGACATGCATTTCCACCAAAAAAATCTTCATTTTGAATTTCCTCAATAGTGAAATCAGGATTTGGAGTTGGAACTTCTTCAGCTATCTAATACTCAAGTTTATCAATTGATTCATAATCAACAGGATCATAGCTCACCTTCTTCAATTTTGACCTTCTACATATATATTAAAAATCACAATTAAATCCCTAATCATTCAATTATTGAAGCCAAAGAGAGTTATTTCAAATTTGAGTAATGATTAATGATCACCTATTTAGCAAACGCAAGTTGTAATTAACAAACACAAGATTATTCAATCTTTCATGTTCTAGCCTATTTCTTTTTTTGGTATGAATTCTTTCAAATAGGCTCCAATTTCTTTCACATCCTGAAGAAGAAGAAGTTTGTCCCAAAATGCGAATTGCAAACTTTTGTAATATTGGAGCACTACCCCCAAAACATTGCCACCAGACATCTACATCAAATTCAAATAAATTAATAGTAGTTAATATTTAAAATTATAATAAAAGAAAAAAAGAGGAAGAAGCTAACCAGGTTGTATTTCATTTGCTACTTTATGAGCTTCTTCTCGACTAAAAGAGCCTTGGCGCTTGCGGTACATTTGCATCTCAGAAATCATGTCAGAATATTTATAGGTAGACTTGTATATTGAAAAATAGTCCAACATTGATTTTGTCACTCTACTCTTCTCTATAAATCCTTGATCATACAAGAATGCAAGATTTAAAAAGTAGGCTGCTGCATGCAAATCACACTTCAAATGCTTATCCCACCGAGCTTGAATTATGCTTGTGTAAGGTTTGTATTGTTCCTTCTTTCTACAAAAGAAATTTTTGATTGAATTCTTTACTCTCTGCATACCCTCATAAACATAACCCAAAGATAGTTTTTCATTAGCATCTACAATTCTTAGTAGCTTGATAAGAGGACCCACAAGACATACAATTTGATGGCAATCATCCCAAAACTTCTTGTCCAACACAATGTCACCAACTAGTTGCCCAGCTTTAGTCCTTGATAGTTTATTATCATGAAAGTGTTTATCTAAGACCAAGGCTTGCAAGTCATGCTTGTGCTCATGCAAACTTTTCAATGCAATAAAGGTAGTAGCAAACCTGGTCGCTCCTGGGCGTACAATTTCTGTCCAGCCATCTCTTCTCCTAAGCCATGAAAGAAAAGCCACATGATTGTACACAAAAATAGTAATTTTTGATGCCTTTGTTGCAAGGTCAGCTACATGGGGCATGCTTGCAATGTCCTTCAAAATAAGATTCAAACAGTGAGCAGCACAGGGTGACCAATATATATGATTATATTTTTCACGAATCAACCTGCCAGCAGCTACATAATTTTTTCTGCATTATCAGTCACAACATGCACTATATTTGTAGGACCGACCCACTAATAATTTCACAAAACAATTAAAAAAAATTCTTGGCATCCTTGACCATATGTGAAGCATCAACAGACTTTACAAAAACCAAGCTAACAGGAGAATAAACCAAAAATTTATTAATGTCCGTTGCCTTTTGTCGGTCCAGCCATAAGCCATGAGTGTGCAGCCACTTTCTTTCCAAGTGCTCGGTGGCTTTCAATAAGTAGTTGACACTCTTTCTCTATAATCAGTTAACAGGTCAACCCTTAACTCCTCAAATGAAGGACCTTTAAAACCTGGGCCAATTGCAACAATTGCATCTAAAGCAAGCAAAAAATATGGACAATTTACAGCATTAAATGAAATGCAATTCATATATAACCACTTTGCAATGGCTAATTTAGCTTTATACTGAGCTTCTTTAGATGACCACACACTCTTTAGCCCTGGTTGGGAGCCAGAAGTTGACCTTGGGGCAAAATAATTATCAACCCTGCTTTTTTTCTTTTTTTTATATAACAACACTGCTAGAACCTGCCTTCTTAGCTTGCTTACTTGGCTCTAGATTTGGAGCAATTACTTCACATTCTGAGTTATCAACAAACTCTTCAAGTATGTCTGGATCATTAAGCTTCGTCTTATTTGCCAATGACACTTCTTTAGAGATTGAACTATTCTATGGCGAACATCATGTGGAACCTTCTTACAAGAAATTATATTTCCTGAAACACCTGCAAGATGCTGCTTCATCCTATTGATCCCACCTCCTCTAAATGATGAGGAGCAATGAAGGCAAGTATACACACAGGTTCTTCCCTCTTTTTAAAAGCAAAATGCTCCCATGCAGGATCACTTTTCCCCCGAAGAGATGGTGTAGATGATACTTGAATCCCAGAGGCATCATTACTATTCGAACCAATAGCAATTTGTGGGGTGCTATTACTATTTGGAGTTGAGCCAGAGGAGTGTCAACAACAGGAGTAGGATCAGGATTATTAACTTGCACATTAGGCTCAGTGGCAAGAGTGGGAGGTTCTAAATCCATAAAAAACAACTAAGCTTAATCAAATATAATCAAAATTATTAAATCAGCAATCAGTAATCAGCACCAGACGTTCAGATTCACAACCAATTATTTCTTAAACTATCATTAATTAAGCTTTAAGAATAAGAGCTCTAACCTGTTAATGAAGATTGAAGATGGCAGAAGAGGCTGGAAATGGACTTGATCAGACTAGAAAATGCTGAAATGAGAGGTCAGTCGAGAGGCTCGAGACTAAAGAAAATGCGACGAACAGAAGAGAGGGAGGAACGCGAACAAGATGACTAGATGAGGCTCGCGAGGTTTACCGGACTGATTCTGCGGAAGCTAGAAATAGCAACCCAAAAA